TTAGTGAGGCACGATCTCCTCCTCATGAAACCGTGCTGATGTGCGGTCAACATCTTGGTTGCTTCTAAGTGTGTGACTATTTTAACCCGTATGATTCGCTCCATGGGTTTTAATACCATCGAAGTCAAGTTGACAGGTCGGTAATTCGCGCAGTTCTCTCTATTTCTCCCTTTGTAGATTGGAGTGACACTTGACACCAACCAGTCACTAGGGAGTCTTCCTTGCTCCAGTGATGCATTGAACAGCCGTGCAAGCGGTTCCGCAAGCACGCTCGCCAGTGGTTTTAATACCACTGGATAGCTGGTCTGGACCCGGGGCCTTAGATATCACCAGTCTCTGTAGGTGCTCTTCTACGTTCATTGTTTCTATGTAAACCTCTGGCATGGCCAGCTGACGGCAAACTCCAACAGACCTACCTGAGGCATCTAAATCCCTCCTATAGATGGCCTGATAGAAGTGGCACAGGATGTTGGCCTTCTCAAGGCTGTTACTTCTGCTACTCCATCTTCATCCCTAACACATCCCACAGCCTCTCTTAGTGCAGCCTTTGACTGCCGTAATTGAATTAGGCCTTGGGGTGGGTTTTCGCATTTAGGGCGAACCTCTCCTCATACCTGCGTCGGCATTCATTTCGCCGTTTTTCTCGTCACTTTATAGCGCAGGAAGTCGCGATGTGTTTACAAAGGCCCACAAAGGTTCACAAAGGCTCTCGCGACCACACCCTTTGCAGTGTTCCAATGGCACCCACCGTTACAAAACCGTTCTAGACAGCCAGGACGCAGAACCAAACCATGCAATCATTGTTCCAGCAGTCGGGGTGGAAGAGTAAAGAAAAGCAGTGCGTAAGGTAGTGAGGGAGAATGGAGTGGGTCTCCACCCTCACTTTGACAGTATCACATCCGCAAGTTACTTAGCACTGGACCGACAGGTTGCTCCAGAGCTACCTGACTCGGCCGCTCCGACCAGGATTTTGGTGTATAGATGAATGCACTGTGTGAGGGGGTGTCCAGGTGCATGAGTGCTGTTTGCCGTTAAGGAGGCAGTGCCCTTGTGCCCTTACCCGACTCCGGTCTTCGACTGCGAGTGATTAACCCAGAAAGTGATTTTCCAGCAGAACCAACGTCTCGTTTCCCTTTTTGCTTTCTATTTTGTTTTCTTTCTTTCACTTTTCTTTTTTTCTTTATCCCACTTTTCTTGCCTTAATCGGTTGACGGGATAACTCGCTATTTCGACGGCTCCTGCAGTTGGGACCTGGTAGGTACCCTTCTTTTTTATTATTATTATTTCAGCGTTCAACACAATAGGGCTTTGAGAGCCGACCTGAATTTATCCTATTACCAGTCACTCACTTTCTAGTGTTCCTCGCATTATTGTCTAGTCGGTGGGGTTTTCTTTTTTTATCATTATAGGTTTTCTTCTTCTGCTCCATGAGGGATGAAAATCCCGCTGCCTTGCTTGGGTGAGGGTTGTGTCTAGTGGTGGATGGGTGTTTCATCACCTGGGTGAGTAGACCTTCGCGATACATACCCAGTGTCCAACCGTCCGGTCTCCGGCGTTGTTNGGCATCAGCGAGGACAGAGTAAAGATAAAATTTAGGGGGTCACACATCCACATCACATCATTTACAAACATATACAATGTACAACAATCAAAGGCCAGTGCTCAGATGCCCCAGGTTGGGGTCGCTTGAACTTCACGTTGATTTTTTGAAAATCCTTCCCAACCTACACTGATCACATTTGACGTAACTCTGTTCTTGTGTTACTTGTTTATTGACGCATTCCCACTCACATAAACCTCCACACAATTGTTCATCTGTTGACTCGATGCCCGCCAAATTTTAATTGGCGTGGATAGAGAACATTATCAACTTGTCAACTGCTGCTAAGCATCCTATTTGGTTCTCGATTTCTTGAGTGTTTTTGGCCGCAAATTTGAGGTTTGCTTTGTTGTACATTTTGTAATGATTTTTTCAATTCAGTACTGTAGAACATTACGGATCAATTGTGTTTTATTTCGGGATTCGTATCGGTTTCGGCTACGCGTCACTCAAGTTCGAATTATTTGACGTACATCGCTACAATTGCCGGTAACGTTATGTCAAACGGAGCGCCAGGGTAATGTCCGGCTGTGGTGGTCAAGTAGCTTATTGGACGACTGTTTACTTTTTGTCTGGACTACTGTCGTTGGCAGTGAGTTCCAAGAGCGACATACACGTTCGGGAGAAACAGTGGTCCCGGGCTCTCAGTCTGGGACGATGCCTGTCCAGTTTCATGGAGTAACCGCGCAGTGCTGACGGAGGGACCATCGTCAACATATGCATGTTAGAGTGCCCCTGAATGCTGAGTGTGTCCCCCAGGAGGATAAGGTCGCCCCTCAACTTCCCATACTCTATGTTGTGTAAGTTGAGTGAACAGAGTCTTTCCGGGTATGGTGTGTGCGACAAGCCCTGTACTCGTT